GGTTCAAGCAGCTTAATAACTTCGTGCACAAGAGCCCATTCATGTTTTTCAAGCGCATACTTCCTAAGCTCGGAGCCGCTGTCTATGTAGGCTTCAATGACTTTGCGAAGTTATAAAGAAACGCTTCAACATTGACCAAGTCGAATTCCACCGTGTTGACACATCTTGTACCAGCTTCTTCGCAGTAACATCTACTGCGACTACATCCGCAAGTTTTTTTAAAAGTTTTGCAGTCGCTGTGGCGAGCCGTTGATGTATTTCGTGAAGTCACGAACTCTACGAACAATCGTACCCGCTGTCCAAAACATTAAGACAATTACCAAATTAGCTCAAAAAATTGCCACGATATATATGGAGGTTAACCTTTTTCGAATTCAATATCTCGATCCAGAAGTAGCGCATCGACGGACATTGGGTTGCTGATCAAAAGCTCCAAGTAGCCTAATACGAGCATTTGCTATCAGATTGATAACATGCGCCATACAGCCAAGCATATTGTCACTCCTGGTAAATCCAGGAACAATACGCCGTTGCTCCAAACACATTGCAATTGTGCCTTTTGTCGAAGCATTGTCACCTGTAATGCAAAAGAGCTTGTCCAATATATTGAACTTCTCTAAAACTTCAAACAGATGATGTATAAGGTTCTGCCCACTGTGGTCTCCTTCAATATCCACGCAGCAACAACAAGATTCCATAGCTTCCGGTTCTCATCAATATAATGAGCGGTGACCCCCATGATCGAAATGTAATTTGGAGAAGTCCAGCAATCAAAAGTGATGTTCACTTTGGTGTTCAAATTCTCCAATGACATATTCAACTGATTACACCCTGCAAATATCCACGTTAAAGGTTAATTTAAAAGAAGTATTATATCGCACACGTACCCATCTAAAAAAAATTCAGAATATCATGTCGGATCGTATCTGCGGACGTCATAAGAGAACTTGCTGCAGGATTGCACAGCTCAAGAAGCTCGAGCAATTTCCTATATTCCACAAACTAATACGGCAAATAATGCTCTATAATAAGATTGATTAACGCCGTCTTTAATGTTTGTCTGTTCAGTTGGGATTTTTGTAAATAAACAACATGTTAACACTATAGCGAAACTAAACGTTACTTATACATCATTGCACACACCTTCGGGTTGCCCGATTTCAGAAATGCACACAATGCACCTTGTTGCGGTTCCTTTTCGTGTATCTGATGATTGCTTATCAAATGCTTGGCCAAGTTCTTGGTTCCGCTGGTAGCTGTACACACATACGCTGCTCCACAGAGTGCAGACCCGACGCGATGCTTTGGGACTTGACAAACAGCTTTTTCTTCTTCTTTAAGTCTTTTAAAATATGTCCACACCCAGCTTGTCTTCTTGCCACCACTGGACCTAAAATCAACCTCTGTTTCTTGGCTGACACTGTCGGCGAACGCAACCGACGATGCAGATTCCGATTGCATCACTTCGAAATCCATGACCACAGATTTTTTTTACTTGTTAGAATCCCTATTTAGAAATTTATCAGCCAATAGTATTTAGAGCCACTATCATACCCGATCTCTAAGTGGAAGAAATTGACTGGAAACGGGATTCAGACCCAGATGCAGCATCATAAATTATCATGAAAAATTCACATTTTTACAATTAAAATAATTATTTTTTAAAAAGACCATTGGGTCCTGGTCCGGGTCGACCCTCGACCCATGACCCGGACCAGCTGGGTCAAACACTGGGTCGGCCCAACATAACTGGTCCGGGTCGGAGCCCTAGCTGCCATCCCTCCCACTGCAAGGATTTCCGTTGTTTCTAGTGTGGGTAGTCCGATCATGCCGTAAACACGACACAGAATCCAGTACTTCTACTGGGTGGCCTTTGCGATGTCAGACCACCAGGGTCGACCAGACTGCATGCGCAATCCTAGTGCACACGTGATACGATGGGGACACCAAGACGATATTCGGACGACGCTGAGGGAGGGAATCACCATCTCGTGATTCCATTTCCAGCAGCGCGCGTCGTGCTGAGGTTTGTTTTGTCAGCTGATAGTTATCGTGGGTTCATCACAGCGTCACTAACACCCTCTAAAACTCCATCCCTCTGCAAGTTGTCCTCCGATCTAGCACCGCTACGTTCCGATTTAGAATAAACAACTCAGAGCGAGATCTCGTCATTAACCTAATGACTTCATAGTGCTACACAATTAGTCACAGCTTTTCTCGATTCTGCTTGCAATGTGAAGTCAAAAGGCGGGCAGATTGGGATTTAAACTACTGGTCCAGCAGCTGACATCCCTCCCACTGCAAGGATTTCCGTTGTTTCTAGTGTGGGTAGTCCGATCATGCCGTAAACACGACACAGAATCCAGTACTTCTACTGGGGTGGCGTTTGCGACGGCAAAACACCGAAGGTCCAGAAACGGAGACTTAAAATACGGGCAAATCTCAAAAAGGAGAGGCACAGACTGTGTATAATAGCTACATATCATTAAAAAAATGTTTGGTTGTGGGATTAATAACTCGTGTCATCTACCATGACACAGCCTTTCTACTCCTAGCTTTCTCACTCCGCTGGCTCATGACGTCAGGCGTCACGGCTAAGCACTCCAAAAAGGGCCGGTAGAATTGTTCGTAGACCAATTCTAGTGATACATTCTTGTGAGCACTCTACCGAGTAGAGGGGCTGCGCTTGCGCTCGTAGCAACTTGATTCAGGGGACAGAGGACGCGTGACTTAGAATCCTGTAACCACTGCCTGAATCTTAGTGATCTATCTTGGCGTCACCCTGACCATCACCTCGTGGTCAACTTCGTGGCTCTTCAGGTCGGCTCGAGCTTACAACATGCATGAATGTGCCCAGACACACCACTAGACGAAGAGCATCTGGCTCAGGGATAATGTACATGAAATACCTGTAATATAACGGGGTGAACCGTTGCATAACAATTTATTACAAATCGCTACTAAAATATAAGTATAAGAGTTATATTCTCAGAAAATTGTCATAAGGACAAATATTCTGCAGCACTTACGAGTAGTTCCTAATTGGTTCATATAGGCCATTATATCAACCAACGAAGACGCGCCACGACAGACGCACGCAATGAGTGGTGAGCAGGTAGTTGATACACACAATTGTATTCAGACATAGTTAGATGAGGATAAATAGTGGTTTAATAACAGACATTAACTATTATGAATACAGTTCTACTTTCTACTTTAACTAAGTACTCGCTTCTTCTTACCGTCTTCCTCTGCAAGTACCGGTGCACGAGAAGTTACGCGGCTCCGCCTTATTCTGTCGTCAGAATGAGTAGCTTGTACTGTCATCAGTACAAGCTTCAGGGTGCCCCGTTACAGGTAATGGATCTCATAAATGGTCATAACTGTAACGGGGCACCCTCAAGCTTATACTGATGACAGTACAAGCTACTCATTCTGACGACAGAATAAGGCGGTGCCTCGGAACTTCACGTACACTCGTACGTGCAGAGGAAGACGGTAAGGAGAAGCGAGTACTTAGTTAAAGTAGAAAGTAGAACTGTATTCATAATAGTTAATGTCTGTTAATAAACCACTATTTATCCTCATCTAACTATGTCTGAATACAAATGTGCATATCGACAATCTGCTCACCACTCATTGCGTGCGTCTGTCGTGGCGCGTCTTCGTTGGTTGATATAATGGCCTATATGAACCAATTAGGAACTACTCGTAAGTGCTACATAATATTTGTCCTTATGACAATATTCTGAGAATATAACTCTTACAGTTATATTCTATTAACAAATTCTTATAAATTAATCTGTAAAGATTCACCCCGTTACATCACCCCCCCTAACCATCAGTCACTTTAGTGACTGATTGTCTTAATGGATACTCGTCCCAAATCATTTGGGACGGGGTTTGCACTTGTTGGTCCGAGTCCACTTTCCAACAATCCATCGCATGGTTAACAAGCCCAAGCGATGCACGAACAAAGCCGCTGAGAGTGCGTCTGCACGTCTCTGTGCGGACGCCAAAGCAGAAACCACAGCAACTGATGTCTCATCGGTTGCTGAAGCGACTCAGACTGTGTCACCTGGTGATGCAGACGCTCGTAATGAAGACACTCATGTCTTCACAGAGTACGAACTCGGTGTCTCATACTCTCCTGATACAGAAGACGGATCTGTATCGAAGGCGGTTGAAACCAAACCGTCTGACAAGCGTGGCATGGATAATGATACGCGTCGTAGCATATTGGTTCGTCTGACGAATCAGATGAACCATCGCCAAAGCGTAGGCGCTCGAGGTCGCAAGACACTCGGGCGCTCACAGTGGTGTCGGTTCTCCTATTGACACCACTTCGCAACGAGGTGCCAGTACTTCTGTCGGCACGTCGCAAGAAGAGCAGGAACTCAACGTGTTGCGTCTCGCTCCCGAAAAGAAGGCATGGCTGCCCCCATAATCTGTCATGGATCGCTTTTCGGCGACGACGAGTGATCGTTATCGAACACGGTTGTTCGATTCGTCAAGGATCCATCACCTTGACCCCAGTGCGAAAAACTATCGCGCTGAACATGAATTCTTCATCAATGCTTTCTTTAGACATCGACGGTACAGTGGGAATCACAAGCGTGATGGTCCCTCACTACTTCAAGCGTGGAACGCCTACATCCATAACCTTGAGGATGTAGGTCGTGACGCTTGGAACGACAAATTCATCAATGCTCGTGATTAGTTGAAAAGCGAACCCCGACTGGTGCACGCTACAGGCTGCATCGTCTGTCAAGGGAGAAGGGATTACCCCGCCTCTCTTGGGGAGACTCGTGCCCATGTTGTGTGAACAACTCTGCACGAGCACCTAAGGAGGCTTACCTCCTTACTAGCCCGTGGTGGCGCGTACGTATCTCTACTGAGATGTACGAAGGGATTGACAACCTGAAATCCCTTTACGACCGTGCCGGGAAGACTTCCTCCGGCGGTCCTTCTGCGGCACAGGATGTGCCGAGTCGTACTGCTCAACCGGACCCAGTACGTCGATCATCAGTTGGGAGCGGGGCTCCCAAGTATCCTAGGATGGGGGATAGCCGCGCCACCGGACGAGATAACTCGTCCGACGTCCGTTCACATCGCGGTGGTTCAACAGCTGCTCTAACCAGATAGCGCTGGCCACCGCGAGAGTCCTCTAATGGAGGTGGAGGAGGAGGAAAGACGCTCTCTACACGATCATGGGGATCCGTGTGTTCCCGAGAGCTTCTTTGATCGCGTAACCCTTGCGTTGCACGGCGACCTCGAGCATGAGCGGGACAGGCCTCTTCAACTGGCGGAAACTGTCTTGAAGCATCGAGCTGAGTTTGCTTTTGCTCAGCTTGAGAACGAGAGATCTTTGACATCTCTGTGTAACGAGCTAAGGGTAGCTCGTGGGATTGTTGATCGGTCTCGGGATGAGATAACTGCTCTTCATACCCTTGTTGATATCCACCATCTGGAGCACAAGGCTCTCTGCGAGATACTTGAGCGCAAGGGCGTTCTTCATCGGAAGAAGCAGCGTACTGATGGTACGGCTTAAGCCGACCAACGTAAGACGTGGGATGCGTTCGCATCTTACGTGGCAACTCGATCGTGTATGCATTGCCTAGGCGGTGCAATACACGAAATGGGCCGATGTACTTGGGTAGTAGTTTACTGCTACCCAAGTTAGTCACTACATGCTTTGGTAGATTAACCGTAGACAGTAGGACTAAGTCACCTTTATTAAGTAAAAGAGTGTTTGCCCTTCCATTCTTGTCAGCGTTTTGCTTTTGCTTATCCACCGCTTCGGCGATGGAGTCTTGCTCAAAACGGACTCCCATTTCACGAGCCAGTATGAACTCATCTGATGACTCGTTAGCTTTAGTGCGCTGTGAGTGCACTGCAGCAACATCAATATTTTTTTCAGTGAGGGCTTCCGCACTCTCACTGGCATCATCTTCTTCGATATCGATGTTGCCGATATCGGCATCAAACGCAATGACCTCATCGTCAGAGCGTGATGAGCGTGAACCAAATCGGTTTTTTGCTCGCGCGAGTCTTTCCCCCTTAAACCAGAGTTACACTTTAGTAAGGTGGGTACGTGCGGATGGCGTAAGCCATGCACGTAAAACGGTGTAGGAGTCATGGACGCACGCACCGAGTTGTTAATGGCAAACTCTGCCATGGGCAAGAACTCACTCCAACTCTTAAAGGAGTGTACGTATCCTCGAATTATCTCTTCGAGGACACGATTGGCTCGTTCCGTCTGACCATCTGACTCTGGATAATCAGATGTCGACATCTTCAAGCGCGTTCTGAGTGATTTGAACACGGAACGCCAGAAATCAGCCGTAAGGCGTGGATCTCTATCTGATACGAGTTCACGGGGCATCCCATGAAGTCGGAAGATGGTGTCGATAAAGACACAAGCACAGCCACTTGCCGTGATTGACTCTGGTACAGCCACTAGGTATACCATTTTGCTGAATTTGCCAACAAATACAAGAATACCCGTATTCCCGCGTGCGTCTTTGGGTAACCCGAAGACGAAATCCATTGAGATGAAATCCCAGCACTCAGCCGAAACTGGTAGATGCTGTAAAGGTGCACGCCGTGAAGGACTTGACTTCACTCGTTGACAGACTTCGCATGCGCGAACGTACTTTCGCACAAACTGATACTGGCGGGGTCAGTAAAAGTCTCGACTCACCGTGAGATTTGTTTTCTCCCGGCCACGATGTCCTCCTATAGGAGCATCGTGATACTAGAACATGATCCGCAAACGCAAATCAGTGTCATCTGGAATGACAACACGTAGTGTGTCACCAGTAATGGCTGTATAATACAGTAAACCGTCGCGAGTAGTGTATCGATCTGATGCAGATCGATACGCAGGCGACAATCGTTTCAACGATTCTCGAGATGGTTGTGAGAGATGTGTCAACAACTTCACAATCTCACCATCTTGGGCATACGCCCGCCTCACATCATCATACAACGTTGAAGATGGTATTGTGGACGCCATAATCGCAACAGTTGCTGTCCCACTGTTGGGTTTCACGACTGGTTCAAAGTCGGGCTGACGTGAGAGTGCATCAGCGACGACATTAAGTCGTCCTGGTTTGTACTCGACCGTAAAGTTGTATTCTGCAAAGAATGACAACCACCGCGCCATTCGTTGTGAAAGGTGCGGGCTGTTCACTGCCGTGCGTAATGACGCGTGGTCAGTGTAAACAATGAAGGGTCTATCTCCTAAGAGATAGACTCTGAACTTCGCGAGTGCATACTTCATGGCGAGGAGTTCCTTGTCATGCACAGGATAGTTCCGCTCAGCTGGTTGAAGCTGACGCGACTGATAGAAGACGACGCGCTCAACGCCTTCAAGATCGTACTGCATTAATGCACAGCCGAATGCGAAATCGCTGGCATCACAGACCACATGAAATGGCCTGTCCTGATCGGCTATTGCTAGGACTGGGGATTGTATCAAGCTCTGCTTGATACCATCAAAGGAGCGTTGACATTCAGCGTTCCATAACCACCTCTCGTTCTTTTTCAACAAACGAGAGAGGTGCACAGTCATCTCGGCGTAATTGCGTGAATACTTGTGCAAGTACGCCACCAAGCTATGGAACTTTCGAAGACCTTTGACATCAACTGGCACAGGCCAGTCGGTGATCGCCTTAATCTTATTGGGATCAGGACGTACACCGTTCTTACCAACGATGCACCCAAGAAGTGGTATTTCGCTTGCTGCAAATATACACTTCTTGAGGTTTGCATACAATTGATGCTTTCGCACGATTTTAAGAACCTGTCGGACGTGGTACCTGTGAACCTCAACGTCCGACTTTCCATCATAGCCCGACTATGAATAAAGACGTCATCGAAATATCTCGGTGCGAATTCTCGTACTGGCCTCAACAGTTCATACACATCTACTGAACGTGGCAGGGGCATTACTAAGCCCTTGTGGCATCACTAGCCATTCCCATAGCATGCCGATAGTCGTGCTCACTGCGGTATAGGGTATGTCCCGTTCTCGCATAAGGATTTGATAGAAGCCATCCATTAAATCCATGGACGAAAAGATGGTACTCTTTGACATACCATCAATGATTACGTCCTTCCTTGGTATCGGCGCCTGAGCCGGTACCGTTGCAGCATTCAACTTGTTAAATGCATGCACTTTCCGCCACCCTCCTGTTGCTTTTCGCACCCAGAAGGTCAGAGAGTTATGTGGGGAAGTTGATTCCCTCACATGACCCGCAGCTAAACGATCGGCAAAGAACTTGTCGATCGCAAGTACTTGTTCACGAGGCAGTGGCCACTGCTTCATGACACGGTACTTCGAGCCTAATTTAAGCTCGACCTCGTGTCGAATACCTTTGTCCTTCGGGAACTCGCACGGAACAGTTTCAGGGAATACATCCTTGAATTCAACCAAACCTTCATAGATTTGATTCGTCTTGAGCGATTCCCACGATTGGGAGTCATATCGCTCAACTCGTGTCTTTTCATCGAGGACACCCTCGTCCATCGATGAACTACTGAGAACTCTCTCGTTCTCAATAAACATTGTTGCTGACCTTATGTCGGCTACACACTCGTCGTCAGCGATGAGTACGCAGATCTGCTTGACTTTGCCACTACGCATATCAAGCAAGAACCTTGTGTTCGAGCGTTGACAACTGAGTGATCTCCGAAGTCAACTTCGGAGGCGCAATCAGATCAAGTGTATAAGCGCCTACACTTGATCCGTCATTGACTAGTACATTCAATGTCTCTGTCATTTCCTGGGGACTTATTCCCTCAGGCCTCGAAGGACTTATTCCTTCGGCTTCCCGGGGACTTATTCTCGCGGGTTTCGGGGAACTTATTTCCGCCGTATTTGTAATCTTGGGACTTTTTCCCTTTACTTCCTCTAGCTGTGGTTGCGCAACCACAGCGAGATCCTCTACGAAAGACTCTCCAGTCGATCTAGGATTATCGTTTCGCTTAACCTGAACGATCGATTGTTTCTCTTCTAGATGTTCCCCGCTAGGGATACATCGTTGTCCCAGTCCACTCGACTTATTCGAGTGGTGTACCTTCAGCGCAGCCTGTGTTTCCTCACAGCCGCCGGAACTTTGCTCCGAAGTGTAACCGTTTGGTACACTAAGGTTTTGTGCCGTCGTACTAACGACCGTACCACAAGTGAGGCCATCGCACTCACTCGTAGCACATCCACACGCTTGTGGACGCTCCAAAACGTTTATCAGATGGCCATCTATGGAATAAGCGGCAGGCATCGTTACTGTTCGATGTTGCCAGTTTACTCGTGGTTCGTACCTTCTGTGCCACGATATTCCAAGGATGACATCAGATTTGTCATCCAAATCCATTACGATAAAGTCATCGGTCACATTGGGTATCTTCTAGCGTGTAGTGGATCTTCACTATACGCTTCATGACGGTTACGGATGCGCCTGTCGCAAGACGTACCGTCATCCTCGTAGGAGGTGTGTCACATTCAACAAGCTTGAAGTGACCATCTTCTAGCGGTTGGCGTCGCACAAAATTGTTGGACGCCCCACAATCGACTAGAGCTCGAAGGGACAACTTATTTGTCACTTCGAGTTTCAAGGTAATGAGTGAGATCTCATTACCTAGAGCAGCAACGCACAACGTTTGTGTGTTGGGAGCAACCTTCATCAAGAGGCCTGCAAATTGTCTTGACGTTGCTGGACCAGTAGGGTGCTTCGCACCTACTGATCCTGTCCGTTTTTTGACGGTCCATCCCGTTGTTGCGTCTTTGCACCAAGAGCGGACCCGCGTCCGTGCCCCTTTCTCATGGGTGGACGGTCATTACGCCCAGTGTTGCGAGACACTGGACGAGGGGCAATACACTCGTATGCGTAGTGTCCTGTCTTCTGACATCTGTTGCATTTTTGCAACTTCTTGTAGTCTGTAGAGCGAGCCTTCTCGCTCTCTACATAACAGAGTTCCATCGGCTCTGGAACTCCGCTGTCATGTCGTCTCGGTGGACGATATGATGTCGATCTGGCGCGAGCATGTCTCAGACTGAAGTCTTTCTGTTCCGCCATAGAAATGGCTCGTTCTAGTGAATCCAGTTCAAGCCGGAACAGGTGAGTCTTGACGGGACCATCCGCAAGACCCTGCATGAACACCGAAACCAACGTGTGTTCATCAACCGGGTCGGCACTTATACAACTCGTAAGGTGTCGTATATGTGGCGCGTAAGCGTGCACATCACGCTTACCCTGTTTGAGCTTCAAGGGTTCGGTTTGAGCTCTGAACTCAGCTCTAGGCGGTTCAAACGTTTGTCTGAGCCGCGACTTGAAGATCCAAACGCATATGGGTCGTGCAACTTGAGCCCCAGTGCCCAAGTCTTGGCACGTCCTGCGAGATTTGACTGGGCAAATGCAACTTGCATATCCCCATCGTCGATTCTACGCGCCCTTATGGCGTCATCCAATTCGACGAACCATCTCAAGAGGGAGTCCTCTTCGACTCCCCTATACTTGGAGCTGTCAATCTTCAAGGTTTCGGGTCGACGAGAGTGCATCGACCCACCAGCAGCAGCCTGCTGCTGTCTCAACAGTTCAAACTGTTGAGCACCCTGTTCTCTCAACAACTCTGCTTGTTGAGAACCTTGTTGGTGAAGCAAGGCTACTTTCTCGCGTTCTGTGTCAAGTTCATTTTGAATGAACTTGACGATAGTAGCATGTTGGGCATCTCTATTGAGAGCCTCTAGCATGACGCTAACAGCATAGATGCCCATGGTTGAACCCATTCGTTCAACCGCATCCCATTCGACATCGCTCAAATGGGAGTAGCCGTCACGCGTAGCCTGGAAGCTTTGGTCATCTTCATCATCCAACATATTCATGTTAGATGTGAACGTGGTCCTTGGACGGACTACGAAGTGCTACCAGGTGTAACGGGGCACCCTGAAGCTTGTACTGGTGACAGTACAAGCTACTTGTTCTGACGACAGAATAAGGCGGTGTCTCGGAACTTCACGTACACTGTTATGTGCGGAGGAAGACTGTAAGGAAAAGCGAGTACTTGGTTAAAGTAAAAAGTAGAACTGTATTTAGCATAGTTAATGTCTGCAATAAATCGCTATTTATCTTCATCTAACTATGTCTAAATACAAATGTGTAAATCAGTTATCTGCTCACCACTCATTGCGTGCGTCTGTCGTGGCGCGTCTTCGTTGGTTGATAATGGCCTATATCAACCAATTAGGAACTACTCGTAAGTGCTGCAGAATATTTGTCCTTATGACAATATTCTGAGAATATAACTCTTACAGTTATATTCTATTAACGATTTGATATAAATTGTTATGTAACGATTCACCCCGTTACACTTACGGTGTGACGGTGTCCAGACACGTCTGTCGGAACAAATTGTTGCCGTCAAAATCGGTGTCTCAAGAACCCTATTTGTTTTGATCTCCATCGTCGGAGCGATAAGCGGGTAGCAATTTAGTCGATTTTGCTTTTTCTGCTAATGTAGATGATCCTCTAACGGCGGCGTTATCATCTTCTCGTTCTGTAGCTCGACATATAACTCTGCCGCCATCTCAAGATCTTCATCAGCTTCACTTTCTTGCCAATCTATAATGACTTCCCCAGTCCGGCATATTAAACTCCCGAAAATCCCTCGGAAATACCCACAGTGAATTTGTTGGATAGTTATATAGTAGCTCAAAGGGTACTCTCGGTCTCCCTTGTGACCATACATTTAGCTTCTGATCTCCGAAGGAATTTCTGCGCTTAATTGCACCACACGCCCCGCGATAGCTGTTTTCCAGGCTATAACGATCGGGGTCCGCGCTCGCCGGTAGCCTTGTCTCCTTTATCTGCTCGAGGAGTCAGCTTGATCAGCGTTTGTTACCAGATGTAAAATTATTATATCGCTTCTTCTCAAAACCGAAGGGATACATATTCCCTGTCCAGCTGGGTGAGCTTCGCGCTCCTCCAAAATCCACTTGGTCATCCCAGCTGATCACGTGGACCAAGATCAACCAGTTTCATGATTGAAACCCGTGGGACTTTTAGAAACAGCTCGTACACCCAATCTCATTCAAATCTTAATGGTAGTTTGAAGAGTGTTTGGTACGTATCGCTTTCTTGTGAACTGTCATCGCCAAGGTGTTTGGAAAACGTCACATTTCTTGTGACTATCCCTTGAGCAACGAGTACACAATCCGGATTTGGCTCTTTTTACGCGAGCAAGGCAGAGGCGATCTTGTGCTGGCCATTGATATATTTAGATGCTGAAACTTAGACTTCAAGGCGTGTCGATGGACTTTGCGATCTGGAAATTTTACTGGACCTCAAGTTTCAGCACTTCTTCTATTCGAATGAACTGTTAGTGTTGATCACCCACTTGGTTATCGAACATGCTTCTCACTTTGATTGATCCATATTCTTCTTTCTACCTCATCCTACCCAGGAACAAGTGTTTCGCGCTTAACTTTTTATAATAGTCACCGTAAGTCGTCTCTTTGGCTAGTCCCATAATCTAATTTCTCATTAAAATTACATCTTATTTCTATTTCATCGCTCCCGTACATCGTTTCTTACACTACCTCTTTTAATTATTTGCTTATCGTGATTGAATATTGCGCTCAAAGATGATAGCACTGATCCACATGAATTTATTAAATCTCCACGTGCTACTCCTTGCAGTCATTCCTCCCTTTCTTGATTTATTCACATTTCTAAATATACACACCCACTAGGGCATTTCGATCATTGCTAAACTGTACCTTCTTCTTCATGAAATGCATTTCCTCAAAAATAATTTTTGCTCACCCGATCTCGATCAAACTCCTGCACCATAGCTCCACACTTCTGATCAGCTTTGTCGATCGAGGATGATTTTCTTTACTCCTTCCATTATGCCAGGTCCTGCTGATGTACTCTGCCATACATCGTCTTCGGGTCGCACATCGATAATCTTATCCACTTCGAATTTGTCAGCATCAAGATCACCGCCCCCAACTATCTCTAGGTAGCCATGATTTGTCAAAATTAAATCGAATCGCCTCTCTATCATTTAGCCTATTCGAAGGGCATTGTATAAATACGCATACTTGCTTTAACTTAGAAACGTGGACCGTTTGGAATACTTTGTAGAATTAATTTTTGATTTTTAAACTCACGGCGTGGTCGCCACACTTTTCGTCCACTGGAAAAGTCCTATATTGCATGTGACCTTTTTTTCGAGCAAAACCTTCCATGACTCAATATATATAGAACTAAACCTGCGAATTGCGGCGATCTCTATCCATAAACCTTTTTTTTTCATTCTACGATCAGCTCGACTTTTGGTCGCAGCCTCCAAGAGTCATTCACTACCGCACTTAAACGCTGATATTGATGTTATATGCCATTTCTGCACCTTCGTGTGTCTCTATCCCGAAAAATGATGCTCTCGAACAAAATGATTGATTTCAAGGTTCTACTTTTTCCCGAACGTGAATCAAGAAAATCGATGTTTCCTTGCGGACTCGATCATGAGCAGTGTTGATTGCTTAGGTAAACTATAGCAATCAGTACCGCTCATGATCGAGTCCGCGGGAAAACCATTTTACTCGTATGTCATGGACGAAAATGGAAAGGGTTGGGACGAATGCGATGTCCTCTGAATGTTTATCCGTTACCGATATATAGATCAATCGGGTTAGCGTCTGCATTATAGGTTCCGCCGTATCGTTCACTTGCGGTCTATTTGCCATAATGGCCCGCTGTTTTGGTTCCGCAATCCGATTAAACGCTCGGAAGACATCGGACGTAATTTCCAGCTCAGGATTATGGCAATCGCTTCAATCTCACGAATCGATTGAGCAAAAATCCTTTTAATTCTCCACGATGGTCTGTGGCAATCTGGACCAGCTCTTTTTCTCGAGTACATACCCCAAAAAATGATCTGCAGTAAAACTTTGGCATTTACCTTGAAATATTATATCAACAAAGGGATGTAATCCAGAGCTCAAATTTAAAGAGGTTGCGTTGAATACAAAATACCAGGCGGTCGCTTCCAACATCCGATCTTTACTTTTCTTCTTTAACGAGCCACAAATTCTCTCACACATCACTGCACACTTCTGTACGGCCCGAGCCAAAGAAAATTTCATTTGATCCACTGATAAGTGTGACCGAATTCTTGGTGGCAACCCTCCAAATTGGTGTGGTAGTGCTGCGACAAATACCGCTGATACAGCTCTGGAACCACAAAACGATCCAATTCCGTACGGTGTTTTGACTGGGTGGCCAATCTCGGGCAGAAAACTAGCAATTCAATTTATTTTACTCCACAATCTGATGCTATCAGGGCGCAAAATTTTGCTTTTGCCTCCAATATATTGCCACATCTCCAACCGGATATGAATAGAGCAAGGAAATCGGTTCTCGTCGTCTTGTGCATGCTTCATGCGATCGACCCGTACCTGCTGCGTAACCTCTTCCTGTAAAATTCTTGGCTAGTAGCGTCTTCCAAGGGAATTTAAAGTGATTGCTGCAACTTTGACCGCATAACTAAATCCTTCTGGTAATGCTGATTTATTTAATCCAGTAAGATTAATTAGATTCTAGAGATCCTGATCCAAAACCACAATTCTCATATCTTTCTCTTGCCTAAAATCTTCACTTGCCAGCCGGTCTACACTTTTAACTAATAAGGAAAAAAAGTTTCATATGTGGAACCTCAGGGGCCGATAACTATTGTAGTATCTTCATAGCTCTATGTATTATTAATTGCAGGCTTGATGCTGAGAATCAATTTTCCCTCGCATTTTGACGGATCGCAATTATAATGTCTACGCAGATAATCACCAGTTCCCTGGATTGACCGGCGAGGAAATCGGAGTAAAGGAGTAATCCACAGTATCCTGCTTCATTTACAGCCAGATCCAAAATCTACTTGAAATTAGCGTCTACGTTCGTCCATTACTGCAGTTTTGATATAATCGCACTAGATGCCTGCCCTCTCTTTTTAACCTAGCTTATCCGTCCAAACTGGCTACTAATAGGATCTATTTACTTCTACCGTGGGTGGTTTCATACTTATCGTCCGTCTTTGCTGCTTCCGCGGGCGATCGTAATCAGTACTTCATCTCCTTCTTCATAAGGCATTATACTCGCATCAAGTGTACCGACATTTTCAGTTTCTCCTTTCTCAGGTCATCGAATCTTTAGTTTCTAGGCTAATGGTAAAGCAGCCGTTCTTTCTAATATTCTGATGAGGCCCGAAGATTGTGACAACCGTGTCAGTGTATGATGTCGCGTAAGCACTGTCATATCGCGAGTATCATCATAGTGTAACAGATATTTAGCGTCCGAAGGAACGCTAACACTTCTATCTGCACCACCCCTTGATAGACTTCGTTAAGCTTTAGATAACGACTCGAGAAAGTGACAGTCCAATATACACTATCATGTTACTCAAGTAACTCGGATGATATGACCTTTTGACAGCATGCACAATGACCACAGGCGATCGATCCAAGTCAGATTGTTATAAACTCGGTAGTGTAGAGATACGAGCTGTAGCAGCGTTAAATGCGACCATCGCCTTTTCTAAGCAATTAATGAATTTCATATCGCTATTTTCTTGCATAGTTGGGTATCGATCAATATCGATCTTTTTTATTTAGCAAACCTTGCGATCGTCCCTTGAAGTTATGTAAGGATCATTGTTTACGTCCAGTTATTTTTGGGGTATATCACATTTGGATCCATCGCACCTTTCAAGAATTTAATCAATCATTACAGCGCATATATAAAATCGAGAATTACCAACGCGTATGTTATCATGGCTTCGTGAATCTCGTACAACACTTTAAATTGAATTGCGAAATCAAATATGTATCGA